GGGCTGTTTTGGGCCATAATGTGGTGGTTTTGGTGGGGTCTTGGCAAAAGTGTCCGGCCAAGCCGTGTGTCCGGCCAAGCCGTGAGGTACGTTACTGCAGATGCAGAGAAACCCAACTGACGCATGCGACCGCGTCAGTCTGTGCGATCAACCGCCACAAAATCTCGATGGTGCGCCCGAATCGTTCCTGCACCGCCAGGCCGCCTGAATCCGTTTACACTAGTATACATTGACGTCATGACTTGGCACCGTCACAGGCCAACTTACTGTCAGCATAACTACGTACCAGTGACAGGTCTAATTACTGTGAAATCACAACAAGCGGTAGCAATCTAATTGTGAATACCTCAATATGTCAAACGATATTACCCACAATAGGTCCGTCCTAAAAGAATTTCTGGCATCCATTGCGACCATTTCGGGAGACTTGTCAAATATTACTGCACCGCCGTTCGTACTCGCAGATAATTCGACTGTGGAGATACCACAATATTGGGCAGATCACCCGTATCTTTGGGCCGCACCAGCAACTGAGGAAAACCCAGAAAAGCGGGCATTGCTCGTATTGAAGAACTTTCTTTGTTCACTACGCGGCCAACAGTATGGAGGACGAAAAGAAGAGGATGGCGTCAAGAAGCCCTTGAATGCCTTTCTTGGAGAGATTTTCCTAGGGGGCTGGAACATGGAAGACCTGGGCGAAACCAGGTTAGTATCTGAGCAGGTTGGACATCACCCGCCAATCACTGCATGCTACCTGTGGAACAACCATGTCGGTATTCGCGCCGAAGGTTTCACTGAGCAGGAAATCACTTTCAACGGAAACGTGGCTATCAAGCAAAAGGGCTATGCGATAGTCCATATCGATAAATACGACGAAGACTATCTACTTCCCTTGCCTAGTATCAAAGTCAAAGGTCTTCTTAGTGGCGTTCCGCACCCCGAACTCTACGGTGACTACTCGCTCATCTGCTCTAATGGATACATATCGCACATACACTTTGAAGGCAAATCACTGCTCGGGTTCGGACAAAAGAACAGTTTTCGTGCGCGCTTCTTCCACAAGGACAACCCTTCTAATATCATCTACATCCTTGAAGGCACGTGGAACAGCACTTTTACCATCAAAGATGCACGTAGCGGCACGGAAATCGAGACCTGTGACGTACGCAGCATCGAACAACAGCCCATGACTGTTCCTGACCTGTCCGAGCAAGATCCATGGGAGTCGAGAAAGGCATGGCAGCACGTCATTTCCGCGTTGCGCAGAGGGGATATGAGGGGCGTTGTCAAGGCCAAGAGCGAAGTTGAAAATGGACAAAGACAAATGCGTAAGGACGAGCAAGCAAAAGGCGAGACATTTACCCCCGTCTTCTTCAAACGGGTAGACAAGGACTCCATATTCGAGGAATTGGTCCAGTACGACCCACAGGGTTATACGATTGACCCCAAAGCCGGCATATGGAAAGTGGACAAGGAGGCTGCGGAGAGCAAGTCGAGACCCTTCCGCGGCGATCTGACGCCCTCGAACCAACGAACTAGCAATCCGCAGCCGCATTCTCAACAACATAGCAGAAATAATAGCACCGCGGCAAGCGGACAGGATCCGGAGTGTAGTGGAGCAGAAATGGAGACTGCAGCTGACAGTATTAATGGAGCAACGGAACCTAGGGGGTGTCCGGCGCCGTCGTCGCCTTCGGACTCATCGGCTCGAAATGGTGCACGACTAACACTTCCCGCCCACGACGCTAGCACCAGTAGTTGTACGCCAGCACAGGATAGCGCTAGCCCTCCTGAATCGCCGACCTCAACCTCCTCCTCCTCCTCATCGTTGGCATCGACAGTAGCGACGGAAACTACTACCCATAGTCCCGTCGAGCCGTCTGATCAGCAAGTCGAGGACTTCCTACGCGCGAAAACGGGTAATGTCCGTTGATCCCGCACTTTCACTTTTCTCTCCCCATCGCCCCGTATTCTCAAAAAATCACAGTTCTGTCACTCTCGTATTCTCTAGTAAACCCGCGGACATTGTCAACAATATGACATTTTTATTTTCCCCGATTTTCTGTTTCATAATTAAGTGTAGTCGAAGGAATCGGTCCTCGGCATTTTCGCCATCGCTGTCGTCTGTGTCTTGTGCACGCTACTAATAGTTAAGAAATTTGTTTTTCTTTCGTTTAACTTCACAGATGACGAAACATCGCCCCCATGCATCTCGCTTCTCGCGTGGCAAAAGTTCCACATCCCCCTCCCCTGATTTGAAAGAGGAAGAGTTAAACGTGAAAAAAATATTAGTCAGGACCCCAATGTGCCGCTCCGCGGACCGGCACTTTTGCTTTTTCGTCCTTGTTGGAAAAACTGGGATTAAGGGGAAAACGCGAATCAAGGGTCTCTCTCATAGCTCTAGACCCTAGTTTTACGTTCCTTTTTTTGGCGCGGTTTCTGTCCTATCCTATCCTATCCTGCTGCGTTCGGGGAGTTTTTCTCTTGGTGGTGGCTTTTTTTACTTTTTTTTAGTGTTAGCATGGCCTTTGTTTCGGGAGCCGCCGCTGACGGGCGGGCTTGAGCTGGAGGCTCTTCGGGGGCTACGGGTGTAGTAGTGGGGGTTGGTCAAGTCACTTAGGTGTGAGATGTTGCTGTTGTCATTGATGAGTTCAACTTCACTTTTCCTTGCAAAAGTTACTGAATGTGATGTTTGTTTGTTTGTGATGATTGAGATTATCGATTTTGGATTATAGTATTAACTATCTTTTTCGTCCCTTCAAAAGAATGAGAGTGTTTTATCGCAGAAATGTGTCTGCTTCAAATCTATATTTCGCTTTCGTCGCTGGCATCAAATTAAATTACCCCGGGCTATTATGGTGACTTTTTTGTCGTATCTTTGAACTTTGATTTTTTTGTACAAATCAGACATTTCATCGGGTTCCACGTTCCTGTTCGATATACGTCTCCCTTGTGATTTCCCCAATACGGCACTCCTCGTCTGAAATCTTGCTTCCTCCGCCCTTTATCCGCCATGTGGAGAACCCATTGTCTGTCTTTTCGTTCTCAGCAGAGAGATCATCTCGTAGCCGTATGGGCGCAAGATTGCCCATGCCATAGTCTTCGTCGAGCTCCTTTGATGGAGTCCCCTTTTCGGTCTGGAAGAGAGATCTCGTCATGCTGTAGATCGAGGGTTTCTTGCGGGACTGGCTCGATGTCGGGTCGCCGTTCCATTGTGGTGTGCGCATACCGGATGGCGTAGAGGGGCTGAAAGCTGACGAGAGGCTGAGCGTGGTTGCGATTTCTCGCCAGAGGGGACGCAGAGTGGCGAGGGAACCGGCGGTGATGGCTAGTCCTTGCTCGATATCGGACCAAATGGCAATGTCCACTGTAGCCCACAGGAAGTCTGGATCTCTAAAGTCCATAACGTAGGCCATGCGGACGACAACTGCTACACTTGCACTGGGGGGCTGTGGGTCAGCAGCTATAGAACCAAAGAGGGGGAAATGGGTTCTACTCACACGCAAGCCATTCCGAGAACCGGAATCAACATGGCCTTCGTCTTGGTAGACATGTTCAATGACCAGATGAGGAAGAAAGGTAAGATCGCAAAGGTAAAGTCGCTGATAACTGAGATGGCGCTGTACAAGAATGTCAGGCCAATGATGATGTCCACATTGACGCAGTAGCCGCCCTTGATTTGTCTGTCCCAAAAGAAGGCGATTGGGGTGCATTGTAGTAATGTGACGAAGAAGAAAACCAGTCCAGTAAGCATGGTGAGGGCCATGGCGATGTAGATGATCCACTTGTGGATATTTTGGACAGTGACGCGCAGAAGGAAGAGACCGATGGAAATCTTGGACGTAATCATTGCCCAGCAGTAGGCAATGTAGCATAGCCACCAATACTACACCTACTGTTAGTTTTGAGTCGGCGAAGCTACAAATTCGAGGACCTTACCCGAAGAGCCTTGTACTGTTGCTCGTTCGTAAGCGTTCTCATATGGCGTCCAGTGCCATAATGAATACCGCCTATTGCGCAAGTTGCAAACATGACATGGAAAAGAAGTGCAGCCACCATCCACCAGTCATCCGCGCCGAAAGCCTTGACGATGCGAGATCGTATGTAGACCCTCAAAACAGTGGCTACAAAGGCAAGAGAAACGAATGTCGAGCACACCTGCTACCGTCAGTTCTGTAAATCTCATGTCTACAGTCAGTGATTCTACATACCGCTTGCAGCTCCGGCCCCCTGTTCTCGTGTAGTGATTCCATGGTGATGGCGCAATGTCGGGGAAATCTGGTTCACACCCAAGTCGCAGCAGAATCTGGAGTAGTTATGCTCCATATATTTTGGTGCCAGAGCATTGGGTATCCAGCATGACGAGTCAAACAGTTCGCTTCGCCAGCACTCAATGAATGGGTGCCCAGGGAGAGGCGCGGCCCACGGCGCTATTCTTGACACGGGAGGGAGAGTGCCCGCCCGCGTCCAAAACATGGCTTCCATAGCTCAGTCAACGCTGATCCCAACTGTCATCCCTCCAAAGAGGGACCAGGTGATATCGAGTTAGAGCAATTTTGTCATCCTAGCAGCTCGTGCGAGCCAGCCTCAGCAATCATAGTCCCTAGGCCTAATGAGGCGAAGGATTGCAAGTGAGTTGAGAACCGCAATTTGTGAAGATCCAGACCCATGACCATGCATACAAAGAGAAGCCTTAATCAGCTGGGGATCTAACGGCTTAATGATTCAATTGCCGCTGTCACATTGAGAGTCAGAGACTACGTTCCGGGGGCCGCGATGCATGCCTAGGGCTGTTTGGATCCACCACCTGCCCTAGGTTCCATATTTCTCAAGGTGAGTAGCTTAGTAGAGGGCGCTCGTGGGGCACAGGCTGGGTGAGGGGCCCGCATTCCTGCAGGAACTGCCGGGTGAGGATGGGTGGTTGCGAGGTGCTGTGTTGGGATGACATTTCAGATGGTTGCTGTTAAGCGAGATCAAGCATGGTGATGGCCAACAACGTGGGAGTGCAAGGATACGGGTAGAGTCGGCGACCTTCTGCTCTTGGTTAGCATTGGATCGTGAAACGCCTGTCCAAGTGCCGGGGTTGCTGATCGTCATGATTGGACGAGTCAGCGCGGCTTAATGACAGCCGACCCCCTCTCATCCACGGCTGGTCCAGGTACATAGTAGGTCGTCCTTCGCCTCGCCCCCTTTGCGTCTGGATGGTGTCGGAGCCCGCCTCCGACGCATATCCAAGGCGCCTGCTATACGCAATTCGTAAATTAAGCAAAAGGGGAACCATTACAGCCACGCACGTGGTAATCTGATTGTACGATGCAATCGGGGGTGCGGCATCCGACCACAGTGATCAAGCCAAGCTCTCTCCAAACCATGGATCGATTGAAAGCAATTCCCGCTTATACCACATAGGAATGTCCCAAGACCGTGATCCCACGATGCTGGGAGATCGCCCTCAACCATCACCAGGGTCTGAGCAACCAAGTGGAGGCAGAACCAGAGACGCCATTGTTGGTGATAGCCGCAACCGGTCCTACTCTAGGTATCAATGTACCCACTCACTTACTATGCGTTCCCACCCTGCCGACAGTAGCAGCTGGCATCGATAGTTACATCCGCTACAGCAAGCGCGATACGCAATTGCTGCCCTACAATCCCTGCTTCTTCGACCCTTCCGAGCTTCAGCAGACACTCGTGATAGCCGTGTAAAGCCCAAACGTTATTCGGGTGCTGTCTTGCTCTAGGGAGAGTGTCGTCAAACCCTAAATCAGCCTTGTAAGCTCCTGCTGCATCTTCTATTCGGCCCTGCTCCATGAGCAAGGCGGCATACGCATGTCTGGTTGGCTGCATCCAGGGCCATGGCTCGGCACTAAAGAGACCCCATGTCAGTACACTCACTCACATCTCATGGACGAGGCGGGATTCCTACTAGGTAAGCGCATCATCCCGGTCAATAGCTGTTTCGAGATGCTTGAAGGCCTCTTCAAAATTGCCCTTCCGGTACTCGAGCTCGCCGTCCAGCATTGCTATACCGACCTTGAGCACTACATTGGATTTGTTTGGAAAGTCCCCGCAAATACGGGAGGACGGTATCCGCTCTACTGCCGCAACCAGGGCGGCACGTTCCTCCTGTGCCCTCTCGATATCACCAGTAGCGGCATAGGCAACTCCCTTGCCGTAATGAATCATAGCCGTTGTAACGCAATGTAAACCTTTATCGTCGGGCATTGGAAGTGCAATCAGATCTGGCCATCGCCCAAAGCGCACTAGGACATGGACGCGTACCGACGAAAAGTTCTCGAGCCAGTCTGCCATGGGCGGGCTCTCAATGCGCAGGAGTGACACAGGTAGCGAGGCTTCCATGCGACTGACAGCGTCCATTGCAACCTTGTACTGCCCCGCAAACATTGCCGCGTATATGAGCGAATGATAGTCATGCATCATGTAAAAGGAGTAGAAGTTCTGTGTCCCATGTTCGGCGACGTACTTCTCGTCTGCCAAGCATGCATCTGCATTCGAGTCAATGGCACGCCCGTAATCACCAACCAGGATCCAGATGTGACTCGGCATGTGGACCAGATGGCCGGCATCCGGGGTAACTCTTCTCAGACGATCTGCACAGGCTAATGCTGCTTCTGGGGTTTTTGACATTTCCATCAGATGGATGTACAAATGGAGCAGACCAGGGTGTTCCTGGGAGCTAACGTCTTGTAGGGCCTTTTCCAGTATGACCTTTGCCTTGGGCGCATGTGATTCAGGGGTGGGTTCACCCGTCTTGAGATCCCATAGATTCCATGCTGAGAGATTCATGAGAGCATCAGCGTAGAGGCAAGTGATGTCGATGTCATCAGGGAACCGCTTATAGACGTCTTCCATGGCTTTTGCGTACTCCTCATTACAGGTAACGAACGCGGCTTCGTTCAGGCTCTTGGGAACACGTACCTGTATCGCGTCGATCAAGGCCTTTTCTGGATCCGTCCTATCGGGTGCATACTGTTGAGCTTTTTGGTTTGCCTCGTTTATCTTCCCCAGTGTTGTCTTGAGCTCTTTCTCATCGAACAAGTCCCAAGGCTTATTGTAGTTCGGCCCGAGGGCAAAAGCGAGCTACCATGATTAGGTATCAATCCGTGCGCTATTCCGAAGTTCAGGTTGTATACATACACCCCAATATGCCATGGCGCACTCTGGGTCGTCTTTGATTGCTCTCCCGAAACACCGGGCGGACTCCTCGTGGTTGAACGCATAGCTCCAGATAAAGCCACGGTCGAACCATGACTGGGCGTGCGGGGAGGATGTGGTGATCTTTCGAGTATACGAACCAAGATCGTATTGATAGGAGCTGGAACTATGCATTTTGGTTGACATTGCAATATCATGTACAAATTCGTTTTCGAGGTCAACGTGTTAGTGTTTGTTAGACACATGATTATCTGGAGCTGGATGTACGCCCCCACCCCCCGCACTACCAGCTTACTCAAGAGCAGCCTAGCCTCATTGAGTCAGGCATAATAGGGCCTATGTGTCGCCTAACCCTTCTGCGTTGCATACGACACGTCCTCGTTCGTGCCGTGGCTGTTGAATTTAGAGTTGGTTCTAAGCTATAGAGTTTTGTCATTCTGTATAGTGTAGTATACAGCCTCGTGCCAAGTAGACCATAAATGAGCGTGGCTGCAACCTCACCGCTTATCCCTTTCCAACAGCCAGCAATCGTACGAGACCGCAATCGCGTTGAGTCAGTACAGTTCCGACCTCTTGGTTCATCGCACAGTTTCTCGGTCCTTTTATTCTCAATACAATGTTTGTTCCCTTTGCCGCTTCCGAGATGATGTCTATCTTTTTCCAAATAGCAGTCCGTCTCCCAGTTTGATATGAGGTGATCACTATCTCAGCTCTTGCATTGTCACTGACTGTAAGATAGGAAAAATTCTGATCAGATGTTTCTGTAACGAGCTTCATGTATTCAATATCAGAAAAGATCTTCCTTTGAGTCTGGCGTAGTGTAAATCACCGCAATTGTAATGGAGTGATTTTAATCGCAGCTCATAAATGTCTAGCGCTCATTATTCGCTTCCACTTTCTTGAGGAACGTAACCTTGTTATCCACGGATACAATATGTTCATGAGAAGTGCGATGAGTGCCTCACAAATCACTTCTAGACTAAATTTTCGCATGACCAGTTTGGATAGTGTATACTGGAAAACGTACCTAGATTTTCTAATTTCGCCCAATTTAAACGCCAAAACATCATGCAGTATGCCAAAACCATTGCTGTTTAATTTGCATGAGCATGTTGCACTCCCAGATGCCGCGCTAGTAATCCGTTACGTCACCCCACTTTGTTCCGATCGCAAGAACGACTCATCCGAGCACCTCGTCACGCGATTTCCACCAAAAAAAGTCTCGTGATACCCTGCAATTCTTCTCCCTCTAATGCTAGAATCCTCCAATGCTGACACGTCGAATACAAAAACTCTCCGCCTACCGAGCAATCAGCACTAAAAAAACTACCTTCAGCTTCGCCAGCCATATACACCACCAACAACCCATATTCCAACAACACCGAGCACACAGTAGCAGTAGTAACAACAACAATACAATGCTGCACTCAGCGACGGAATCCGCGAAAAAAATCTTTGCCCCAACCTCAAACTCCGACGACCCAGGCCACGCAACACAATACACCAAAGGCGCCCTCGACCGCGCCGACCTGCTCCCCTCCCCCACGGACCAATTCCACAAATGGTTCCAAGAAGCCCAATCCAACAACGTCTACCAGCCCGAAACCGTTACTTTTTCCACTGCCGAGCTCCCCAGCGGCAAAGTCTCGGCCCGCGTCGTCTACATGAAGGAGCTCGACGACCGCGGCTTCGTCATCTACTCGAATTGGGACACGAGCCGCAAAGCCAGCGATGTGAGGAGTAATCCGCATGCGGCTCTTACGTTTTACTGGCGCGAGCTCGAGCGCCAGGTTAGGGTTGAAGGCCGCACGGAGCGGCTTACCGATGAGGAATCTCAGGTTTACTACGATACCCGCATTCGAGGCTCGCGCATTGGCGCCTGGGCGAGTCGCCAGAGTAGTGTCATTGAGAGTAGGGAGGAGCTAGAGAAGCGGGTGGAGGAGGTGGAGAAGCGGTTTGAGGGGAAAGACAAGATTCCTGTACCGGAGTTTTGGGGTGGACTGAGGGTTGTGCCTGAGATGGTGGAGTTTTGGCAGGGGAGGCCAAGTCGACTACACGACCGGTTTGTGTATAGGAAGGTTGGGGGAGAGGGCATAAAGGATGCAGAGTGGAAGATTGAGAGATTGAGTCCTTAGGCTTGGAGATAATGATCAATCCCATCTATCTTCATCGTTCAATTCTATTTTCTTCCATTGATACTGCTTTCATCATCCTTGCCCCCCTTCCAATACCCAGCTTGGCTATACTCGAGAACACTGGCCCTCACTCAATTAGTGCGATATAGGGCTTGATATTCAGAGTGCTTTTGCAACAATTTTCATCTAGCATTTACTGCTTGTATTGGGATTCCGATTTTACCAATATGAGTTACGTAGCAACAGCCTGTTCCTTTTTTGATAGCCTATATTGGACTTTGGACAATTTTACGCCGAAGATCCAGAAGAAAAAGTGAAATCAAATACAAGAAGGAAATCATGGACCCCCTAACTAGGGCCCTGAAAATTTAAATAACCCAGAAAACGTGACAGTCATTCAAATGGAATTCGTCTAATGTCGACACATTTACTCTGCGTCTGACTCTGCTTCGGCAGTCTACAATATGATTAGCCATCTTTCTCATTAGAATGCGGTGTGGATACTGCTTACATTGTCGTGGAAGTTCGTTCCGTGTGTTGTCTCGTTGATGTAGCCCTTTCTTATGACAAAGTCACCAAAGTGTTCGCCTTCGTTCCTCTCCTTGGCATATTGTTTGATCAACGGCTTCATGATCTCCAGAATCTCATCTTCCTTGATTGAGCTCCTGTAGAGCTTGTTCAGCCTTTGACCGTGGTAGCCACCACCAAGGTACATGTTGTACGCTCCGTAAGCCTTGCCGACAAACGCAACCTCGGCGAGCCAAGGACGCGCGCAACCATTAGGACAACCTGTCATACGCATGACAATGCTGTCTTGTCGGAGACCAGACTCTTCAAGTGTTCCTTCAAGCTTGGTAATGAGTTCTGGTAAGTAGCGCTCTGACTCAGCCATAGCGAGACCGCAAGTTGGGAAAGCAACGCAAGCGGAACTAGACAACCTCATTCCTGAGAAGTTCGTGTTGTCGAGTTTCCACTTCTTGAGAAGTTCCTTCATGGCTGGTAGGTCCTCATCTGCAACGTTGGCCAATATCAGATGTTGGTTACCAGTGAGACGGAACTCGCCCTTGTGTGCCTTGGCTACCTCTACGAGACCAGTCTTCATTGGGAAGTCAGCAGTGTCCTCGATACGGCCGTTCTCAATGAAGAAAGTGAAATGGTTGAGACCAAGCTCATCCTTTTGCCAGCCAAAGGTATCAATGTTGCTCTGGAACTTGAAAGGCTTGGGTTCCGAGAACTTTTGACCCCAAAGATCCTCAACCTTTTGGATGAAGACGTCGAGGCCCATGTCGTCAATGGTGTACTTGAGACGAGCGTGCTTTCGGTTCTTGCGGTCGCCGTGATCGCGCTGGACAAGCATGATCTTCTCGCAAACAAGATGCACTTGATCGGCTGTGACGTAACCGAACATGGATCCAGTACGTGGGTAAGTCTTCTTGTTGTTGTGTGTCACACCCATACCGCCACCGGCAAGTACATTGAAACCCTCAAGGTTGCCATCTTCGCCCTTGATAGCAATGAGACCAATGTCGTGAGCGTACACATCAGTGTCGTTGTGTGGAGGGATAGCAATAGTGATCTTGAACTTTCGAGGAAGGTAGAGGGGGCCATACAAAGGTTCGTGATCTTGAACAGCCTCACCGGCGATCTTGCGCTTCTGCTTCGTTTCATCGTCCTCGAGCCAAATCTCGTGGTATGCCGTTGTAGAAGGAAGAAGGTGATCGCTGATCTTCTGCGCGTAGCTGTGGACCTGACCGTGGTACTTGGACTGCGTAGGGAGAGAGCTGCACATGACGTTTCGGTTAACATCACCGCAAGCAGCAATGGTGGTCATCAAAGCCTTGTTGATGGCCTGCATAGCAGGCTTGAGCTTGCCCTTGACGACACCGTGGAACTGGAATGTTTGTCGGGTGGTCAGCTTCATGGTCTCGTTACCAAGCGTGCTGCTAATCTCGTCCATCTGTAGCCATTGCTTAGGCGTAGAAACACCTCCAGGAAGTCTGCATCGGATCATGAAAGAATAGGCTGGCTCGAGACCCTGGGCCTTGCGCTGGTCGCGGAGGTCACGGTCATCCTGCATGTAGGTACCATGGAACTTGGTGAGTTGCTGGTCACTTGCCGAAATAGCACCAGTGCTAGTATCGGCCAAGCCCTCCTCAATGGTACCTCGGAGGTAGTTCGAGGCAGCCTTCATGTCTTCGTTGGTAAGCGGCGCGGGCTCCTCTGGCAGGTTCTCAACATTGGAGACACCTAGCTTCTCCCAGAGCTTTGGCTCCCACTCGGCGTACGCGGTCTGGTAAGCATCTGGATCCTGGTCATCTCCAAGACCACAGTCGACTAGAGGCTTGCCACCTAGGGTAAGAAGACGAGCGTGGAGATCCTTGGCAGGCTTGTTGTAGTAGATCTTGTCCTCCTTACGTGGCCAGTAATGGCTGTCACCAAGACCGAACACACCAAAGTTTACTGTCGCAAGATCCAGGTCGGTGGAGTCCTTGACGGCTTCCCAGAAGGCTCGGCCGTTCTGAGGGAATTCTCCCTGACCAGCTACACTAGTCATCAAGACAACATTCTGCTCGTTGGGAAGATCCTCAAGTGGGAAGTCATCCATGGCCATGACAATGGTCTTGAGGCCTCTAGCCTTGCCTCGGTTTCCTAGCCTCTTTGCCAGATTCTCAGCGTTGCCATTGTCAGAAGCGAAGAGAATTGTAAGTGGGTCGCCTTGAAGACCTTCGAGTAGTTTGCTATACGCGTCCTTGGCTTTGCGCTTCTGCAACTGCCTGACTTCGGTTCCGTAGGATCCAGAAAGGTTGGATGCGAACTCGGGGTGTCGCTTCATGACCTGTGACATGTAGTTGTCGCGAGAGAGGAACTCCTCCAGCTCTTTCTTGATGCGCTCTGAGTCCAGCTTGAAGTTCACTTCACCCTTCTCCTCGGCCTTGGGGTCCCATCGGTAGAGTGGCCAGTATCCCAGGTCAACCGCCTTCTTGGTCTCTTGTAGGACAGTCAGAGGAGTGTCATTTTCCTTCTCGTATGGCAGATACGCGAGGACAACGGAGGGACCGTTGAACTTGTCGGCTTCAATCATGGCCTCCAGAACCTGAGTGTAGGAACTATATACCGCAACCGATGCAACATACGCGTTGCCGAAATTCATAGCATATAGCCCAATGTCCTTCTTCCGCCTCGCCGCATCAGCAGCAGCGCGCTCCGAGTAGGGGGTAGAGTCAATGATGAGCATGTTGACATTCTCGCCAGATGCTAGCACATGGTGTACACCAGAGTTTCCGAGGTCGTAAGCCCAAGCATCAGATCCAATCAGCCAAGGCGATTCCTTGTAGAACAATTTCTTAGAAGAAAGTAGCTGGCTGGCGATAGGCGATCCATCAGTACTTAAGCGGGCGATGACTTCAGAAGCCAGTTCATTGGCCTTGTCAGTGTCATCAGCGGTAAGAGCCCACTTGGAGAGCCATTGCTGTGGCGCTTGAGTGATGAACTTATTGTCCTTGGAAGCAGCGGCGGCCTCTTCAACAAATCGCTTTCGGTGCTCCTTGCGCGCAACGAGCGATCCAAAGCCATACTCTGGGGTAGATGTGATTTCGTTGGAGATGCCAGCGTGCTGTGATCCGAGCTGGTTAGCCACATGAAGTTTCTCACCAAAGACTTGGTTCAAAATCTTGATGTAGGCGTTCTCCAGTGCTGGTTGCTCAATCTTGATAGGCTGTGCCTCAGGTCCATCAAGGTTACCAATGACGAGGTTCTGAACAGGCGTCTCACTCATGAGGTTTTGCCAAACGCCGCGCATTGCCTGTGAAACAGTCTCCTCATTAATGTAACCCAATTGGTATCCGACAACCGTGGGAGATGCGCCGCCACTCGCCTTGAGCGACATAAGAACATCGAGCAACACAGGACCCCACCTAGTGGTCTTTCTCCGAACTTGCTCGATCACGGCGATCCTCTTGAGCGAAGAAGGCAGCATTGGAGCAAGTGATGAGCCCAGCCATGGGCGATACAACCGTGCTGTGATGATAGCCGTGTTGGCATATGCTTTGGTCTCATCAACACTGTCCAACTCGGTGGCAAAGACAGCGGTGTCGGCACCAAACAAAAAGATGGCAGCCTCCTCCTTGCCTGTACCTGAATAGGCAAAGGCGTCGTAGCTTCGTCCAGTAGCATCCCTTATGGTTGACCAGATTTGTGTGGCGAATCGGTAGATGTCTTCTGAAGAAACAGGTTTTGATATTAAGGACTCAACAGTGGTGGCGGAGGACACTGATGCGGCGCTTGTGCTAGCCTCGCGTTCTGATGATCCGGAAGAAGAGTCACCACGCTGGCTGTTCCTTTCCGAAACGGGAAGTGACTTGCTTTGGTCTGGGGCGCCGGCCAGTGCTGATGTAGGGGCTGCATTGACGGCCTGGCTGCGGGCGAAACTCAGCGAAGGGGTCCTGCCATCATCCGCGTACAGCGAGGTTTCCTGGGACTTTGAGTTTTGGAAGGCCGCCACGGCATCCATGTCAATGACACTCCGGACCAGAGCCGCATCTTCCACCTCTACTGTCTTCCGGAATGCGCTCGCGCCAGAGTCGAAGAAGTGAATGACACCCTTGCCTGACTTGATGGCCAAGGCATGTGCTGTGAGGGCGAGATCTTGCAACTCCTGTAGAGTCTCAGACTGAATGAAGGCAAAGCCAGACTGCCTGATGGAAGTGATGTCGGAGAAGTCCGGGTAGCCTGAAGGCGCTACCGATACATGTATGACGACAGGGTATTGGGCGAGTTTATAGAGGTGGGGTATCGACTTGACAAGAATGGAGGAAGTTGTGGTCACGCTGGTGAGTTTGCCCGCGCGAATGGGCTGGAAGACTGAGAGGAGCGGGTCGGCATTTTGGCGGACGGTTACGACCTGAGGGAAAATGAGTCAGTTGTATTGTGTGAAATTGGCAGTTGTTCTGGCATACCTCTGGAAGTGTCTTGCACACAACACTAGGCGCATTGTGCTTTTGGAGGCCCTTCAAGGCCTCTGAGAACTCGGACTCGGTCGAGAGGGAAGGAACGACCGATACAATTACGTCGGAGGCCTGGTGGGCGATTCGGGCCACTGCAAATGAATCGAGTCAGTATGAATCATATCAAAAAAAAAAGTAAAAAGTGAGTGTTCCTAATGGGGGGTGTTGGGGTAGAAGAATGGTGGGGCGCGTGGTTGCGGGGGAACATACCGGCCTCTCCTGCAGTCGAAATCGAGCCCATGTTGACTGCAGTATTGCAAAGTAGACAGTAACAACGAGGGAATGATTATGGAGGAGACGAGCAGTTGTAATAGTAGTCGGGCTTCGGGCCGTCGGCGACAGTCCTCATAATCAGCGACAGCGGCAGTGGAAAAATTCCCTTTAAGAGGTCATGACAAGGTACGCCGAAAGCACGCAATATTTTAGTGCAATTCAGCGTCTGGGGCGACGTCGGACAGACGACGAATCAGATGCGGGTAGATTGTAGCTCGGAGTACCTGATCCGACTAGGCTGGGACGGCAGACTCGAGGCGAGGCCAGTGCCGGTGTCATCTGTTAAATTCCTATCCGCAGAGCGGCCTTGGGAGGGTAGGAGTGCCGTATCCTCGCCGTCAGTGCAATTCGCCATGGCATGCTTACTTTGCCCTCCGCTGAGTGGTCGGCCGCTACCGATGGCGCTAGACCGCATTCGCACGTACCGAGGATAGCAGCCGTTATCGATAAGCGAGGGTAGCCAACCTCCACCTGTTCGGCTTGCAGGCAGTGCGACATACTGGCATCATGTGGTCTGAAACAGCACAGCACTCTCCGTACGACCAATCGTCGACACGGCTCCTCTCCTCCTGCTCCCGTAACCGCTTTCACCCGTGCCGGATGTTGACATTAGCGCGCCTATCGCAATGAAGTCTGCCTCTCCATTTCCAGATCCCCTCGTCTCCGACACCCCGCTGCCCCTGCATCAGTTGTGCGCCCGCATCAACGACCGCATAACCACCTTTCTTGACGCCCAGAATGTCTCCCAACGCGTAAAGAACGTGCAGCAGCAGACGCAGACGTCGCTGCAAGTACTCGCTGAGGCCTTGGACCGCTATACGTGCGTCTTGATAATGTGGGGCTTACATGCCTATCTGGCTGACACTCATCCAGTCTCCCTGAGCTCTCTCTATCCTACAATGGCGGCAAGGACTGTCTTGTCCTGCTCATACTCTACCTCTGCGCCATACACCGCCGCGGCTTGACCAAATCTCCGGATACCGCATCCAGCCCTGAGACCGTCGTGCAGTGCGTATACATTCAAGACGCGCATCCCTTTCCCGAGGTCGAGGAGTTTGTCGCACACAGTAGCAAGATATATTCATTGTCTCTGTTGGAATACGCGAAACCCATGAAAGCCGCTTTTGCCGACTATTTGCGAGACCAGCCCTCCGTCAAAGCGATACTCGTCGGAACCCGTCGGACCGACCCTCATGGCGAACATTTGAAGCATTTTGATCCAACCGATTCAGGATGGCCTGCGTTTGTGCGGATACATCCGGTCATAGACTGGCATTATGCTGAGATATGGACAGTATGTGTACATTCATCTTGACTCGCTCTGCTTGGCTGACACTGTACAGTTTATACGGTACCTCAACATACCGTACTGTTCTCTCTACGATCTTGGATACACCTCATTAGGCGGGACCACCGATACACACCCGAACCCGAAGCTGGAGCAGGAGTCACCTCCACAACAAGCAATGGAAGCTGAGAGTGAGAATGGGACATCAAAACCCAAGTTTAGACCAGCCTATGAGCTGATAGATGATTATGAAGAGCGACTGGGGAGGGATAAATAGACACCAAAACGCATAAGCGATTCGCATTTATACGTTGTTGTACGCGAAGCATCATTAGTATATAGATTTTCGCATCATTCACGCTCCAGGCATGAACAGTACATGACACTCGTGCTTTTGAAAAGATTTGAGAAGGTGATCAGCACAATGACCTCTATCATCATGTCCCATAGCCAAACGCCCAGATTATTCATGCAGTGTAAGGTATAGATACCTGATGATAGATTTTCCATGGTTGAGTTTTGTACTTGCCAACTTTCAGCAATCACGCAACTGTTGGGCAGATATGCTCTGATGACCTACATCCATGTTACACATCGCCATCAGCAGCAAACAGTACCCGAAGCAACGATTGGTATGGTTCACTTATCTCTGCATATCATAGTAGAGACTAATGCATTGAGTGTATGCAAGAATATATTGAAAACATATCTGCCGTTTCGTCACCAGCAAACGAAGAGCTAGGCCGCAGACATGGTAACTGTAGCATTTAATTCTCAACATGGTAAACACACCCTTTGATACATTACTGAATATGCTATAAGAGGTTACCGTCTTGCCTGGAACGAATATGAAGACCAAGCAACCGCACATCCGACATATACAGTTGGAATAGCTTCAGATTACCCAGTAGATTACACGCCATGGCCCTCATAATCTCTCTCATCATCCCTATCCTACTACTATCACTTGCCCACCCCGCAACCGCCCTCTCCGCCCAACTCCACGAACTTATCCCCGGCCCAGGCCTCCCCAGCCTCGCATCACTAAACCTGACCACATCTGACATTATCAATCTACCTCTCCCTCTCCCCTTCGGACCCACAGGTAAAACCCTCTCTACCGCAAGCCCCCCCTCCCCCTCTCACCCTCCCGGAAACTCTTTAATATGATTTTCTCTCAGGTCAAGATCCTCCCCAGAGAGGACCCCGGAAAGATCCCCAGTGCGGACCTGAAGATGCATACACGAACGTCGATAGTCTGGTCACTTGCTACAAGTATATCCACAGGCTAGGCACCGAGTTTTGCGAGTTCAGGCTTCATGAAGTAAAGACGCTGTGTCGCATTGGGGGTGTTGGTGTTGTTGGGATTGGGATTGGGAAGGAGGTTGAGAGGAGTTATTGGTGAGCTTCTCCTTTTTTTTTCCCCGTCGAAAGTTTTTTTTATTTTTCGGAGTGCATGGCTGATGTGTTTGGATGGATAGTTCAGATGTTGCGTTGGGACTTCTTACTGTTATTGATGGTTGTACGAGACCGGATCAGAGTGCTGCGGGCTTTGCTGCTGCGAATGGCAATGGGAATATCATAGTTGGGGGGACGAGGGTAGATTTTGTTATCCATATCAAGAGCATGGCAGCGTGGGGTTGATGTGGTTTGTGCACGTTGATGATGGTGGGAAATGTTGGGGTGGGCTTTACATGAACAAGACACTTTTTGCATTTTGTAACGTTACACGAAGTCTATGCTTGAATTTTGCTCCATGTGATATTATTGCATCCTCGAGACACTTGAGTATCTGATGGTTTTGCATTGATTACTACTTTGGCTGTCTAAAGTAGAGTAGGCAAAGAATATTTCTTGGGACTTATAGCAGTTAAAAGAGGAGTGAATTTTTTTCGAAGTTTCTTTAGCACCAAAATTCAAACATCCTTCACATAGTGCTAGAAGTAAGAGATCGAACTTCTTTACTTTAAACCAAAGAGGGTTCTTAGTTTGTTGTCTTCTTGGTCAGCGAGGAGAAAGGGATTTAACACTTTGACTACTAGGTCTTCTTAGCCAAGTAGAACAAAAATAAGAAGCAAAAGACAATTACACCATCTCTCTCACTGAAGTATAACATAATTTGTCGAGGAGCATTTATCATCTCCCCTTGGGCAGATGCTCCGTTCATGAAATAATTGTCTTATCTAATTCTGAAAAGAATTCAGACATTCAGATTGGTGCTTAATGTATCCGTTGTTATTTCCTTTTTCCATACCATGCCTGAGTACCCTTCGGGCCTTCTCTTACCTTGCTCACTGGTTACTCCACCACACCATCTCTGCCGATCTCCAGACCTGCACATGACCACTTCACGTTGTATCCAGATCCTCTCAACACGACAATCTTTTTTGGACTTGCAGTACCTGCCTCTTCTTTACTAGAAAGGCCCTCCACCGCATGACCGCCCACGCATATATAAATAAATAGTTTTACGAAAATGCTAGTTGCTATGGGTCTCTCTATGCAAAATGACGTGGGCCGCGTAAAGTAGTAGCATGATGTTCGTTGAAGGTTGTTTAACAATTAGGCCGATTATTCAGATAAGCAGGGTCTTGACCACCAATCGGTAATCAAGTACCGAGATCATGGCTAGTTGCATACTCGATGTGGAAGTATTTGTGGGGAAGAAAAACTTGTTGTAGCAGATACATTATACACTGTAGCCAGCTTCCTATACCGTGAATCAAGAGTTTTACAAAGTCACTGGCATACTTGTTTTAAGCAATACCCCAAGGATCCTGAATAGCGAAACCACAAGACGAAGGACTTTGATTGCCCAATCATGTACTATCTCGTTGGCAAATTGTGCAGTTCATGCAAGCAATAGGTCCGACTGTGGCGGTGTTCGGGTCCTTGGGGGGTTCTTTTTCGGCATAGCTTGTGACCCTAAATAAATGACGACAAGACTCACTACTGCAAGTGTCCTGCCGGCAAGGACATATGTACGAATGAATTGCCAGCTGGCACAAGGCATTATGTTAGAGTATTGGAGGAAACTCCGAGCAGTCGCAACTATTAACCTAACAGGTTGTTGGCAATGAACGGGTTGCCTACAATGGGCATTGGGGCTTGATAGTCATGCGACTCGATACCATCGACGGGGAAACCTCCGACAGGATCTAGAAATCCGAAACTGTCACCAAGCCATCTTGTTCGATAGCGGAAGCAAAGGGCTTTTGGTCGACAGCCAAGCATTGAGGCGTCTCCCTCGTGCTAAACATGTGTCGCCCCAGGGTTCAGGGCTAATGCGGGCGGGTCGGTTAGGCCTCGGCCACTAAGATCGATCGCCTGCGCCCCGCGGCCCACTGCCTACTTTGCCCACACTACGGAGGTGCCTCACAAAAGTTCTGTCCCACGCTAATCTCGGCGCTTCGGCACAACTCTTCTTGGCGCAAATCTCTCCTTCATGCTGAGTAG